GGAAGATGGAGGTGGCGTGTAGAAGTTGAAGAGTGACTTGACTGTATTACCCTGGAGTGAGAAAGACCAGAGCCTACCCCCTGCCCCATGGCGTCTTCTCATGGGGAGCCCTTAGAACTCTGTGTAACCCAGGTGCAGAAAGAAAAGAGGAAGAGATGGTGGGTTGGTGTCGGATCAAAAGCAGGGTCAACCTCAGGACTGGTGGGATTTCTCAGGCCTCCTGAGAAAAGGCCAGTAGAAAAACGCCAGAAGATCACTATTTCACCCATTCTAACTTGCACGTCCTCTCCTGCCTTGGGCATTTTAACATCTCTGAAATCAGAGTGCATTTTACAATTGACCTCACCATAGAGCTGTATTGGGGTTTTATGTCATTTTTTCTTTCCTAGTGGTACATAAAAAAATGGTTCATCTTACATTTAATTCTATCTTAGATCCTAGGAAATATGATGGTTGGTATAACAGTAGCTGTCTGAAGCAGGGGGCCTGGACAAGCTGGATCTTCCAGGCCAGATACTACCCCATCGCAAGGTCACTCATATTTACTCTATAACTATGATTCAGGAACAGTCATTGCCTTTTCTTCCCTTTACTCCCTTCCAAGAGGTAAATGCTACATCTCAGAAGCCTTTTCCCCTCATTTGCACAGCGCCTGTCACTTCACCTCTCTGAGTCTCAGGCTTGTCTGATTGCTTCTTTCTATGCATTCTTTTACTTGGTTTGGTTTTTAAAGTTAACATTCCGTGAGGGTTTACCTGTGCTGGTCACACACGTATCACTTTAGTTACTGCTCACCACAACAACTGCTACTCCCATTTTGCGGATAGGAAAATCGAGGCTCAGGAAAGCCAAATAATCTGGCTGAGACCCCAGTGCTAGTTGGGATTTGAAACTGTTTTTTCAGCCCCTGTGTGATAGTAGTACCTCCAGTACTGGAGTACCACATCTGTGGGAGTGGATGTGCTGCTGTCCAGATTCCTGCTCAGCGGGCATTGTGTGAGAGCTAGCCAGGCAGCCCCTGCTGTGACAGACGTCGGCCCCAGAAGGAAGGGTGCTGAGGACATGGGAGGGAAGGGCGCTGCCTTTGGGGGTTGGAAGACAGCCCTGTATCAAGATGTTAATAGGGGCTACAGACATTTAGGCGTTTTCCATGATTTCCCAGTCTTTTTACAATGTGAACGTATTACATTTGTATCATCAGCAAAAAGCAATGAAAACAATTGAGACTAGATACTAAATTAGAAAATTAAATATATGAGGCCTTTCCAGCCTTAGGTGAAGAGACTCACCTTTGCCCTGCAGAGCAGCCAGTACAGAGAAGAATGAATGCTCACCTGCAGCCTCTCCCATTTGCCATCCAAACTGTACTTGTAATTTAAAGTCCCAGTTTAAGTTTGCTGGTCCAGGAAGCCTTCCGTGAGCACCCAGCCATGCCCATGTGCATATCCTCTCTGGTTTCTGAACACCCACTGTAGTGGGCACAGTGGTGTGCATTATAGTGTGCTACCCTGTGCAGCTGAAGCACTCCTTCCCCAACTGCTGGGAATGTTGACAACTGACCGTCCGCAGTTGGGTCCATCATTTTGGTGATTGCCCACTGCCAAGAGAGATGGCTCTTTAAGGCCACGCCCTCTCCCTAGGATGGCCCACAACCTAGGACATTGTGAGAGGTGGCAAAAGCCCGACCCTATTGCCCTAATTCAGGCAGCTCTGCAAGGCTATTTGAGGGGGTCACATGAGGCCTTTGGTGTGGCTATAAAGCAGCTCAACTTCTCTGTCCAGTCCTGCTTCTTTCACCTTCCTGAAAGTGTTTGGAGCCTGAGAGCATTCTCTGGTAAATTTCCTGCTTGGAATCTGCTTTCTGGAGACCCAACATGTAACACCCATGATACTCTTAGGCTGCATTTCTTTTTTGTCACTCGTTAATCTGGTGGCCTACGCTAATAGCTAATTTCAAATGTGTGTAGGGGTGGGGTCAGGAAGGAGTTCTTCCCAGGTGGACACACAGAGCCTTTGATTCAGTTCAGCAAACATCTGTTGAACACTTACTGCCTGCAAATCACAGTGTTAGGAGATGGAAGAGAAGAACAAGATAGTATGTTCTTTTGTTTATTCCACAAAGATGAGGCATGAGCAAGACGCAATATAATTCTTGAGATGCTTACACCCAAGTGAAAACAACAGACACACGAATGGAATATTTGCAGAACAGAACCACGAAACACTGCTGTGGGAGCCCCAAGGAGGGAGGAAAAAGATCCAGCCAGGAGGACCTGGGTTGGGTCCCAGGGCAGGAAGATTCTGAGCAAGCTTGCTGTGAAGGATGAGTAAGAACTGGGCAAGCAGAGAGAAGTGAAAGGAAGTTTTCCAGACACTTTTCTGATTTTTCAGTGGAGATAGTAATTATAAGCCTCAGAGGTGGCTGTGAGGATAAATGAGATAATGTATCAAAAAAAAAAAAAAAAGAAAGAAAGAAAGAAAGGCAAATTATCAAATCTTTTTACAAGTAGACGAAGCTATCATCATAGGCAGGCTCCAGATTGTACTGTAGAAACAGAAATCTGGTTAGGCATAGTGAATGGATGGAGCCAGGAAGCCCAGAGTCAAATGCCACTAGCCCTACCCAGAGAGGGGCTAAGGAAGTGGGAAGAGGGGCAGAGAGCGACGGTCAGGATGCTGGGGGAAGTGAGTGTGCCTCCCTGTCTCCAGGCCCCCTGCAGTACTCGGCTTCGTGCTTTCTGCCTAGCAGGCTAAATAGATACTAATTGGGTAAATGAATGTCATGAGCTGCCCCTGTTGCCTGGTCAATATATACATACAGGTCACCCCGGTGTGCTCTAGATGGGAAGAGGGACCACCTAGCTTTGCAGAGGACAGCATCAATATGATGCAGGGCTTCAGCACCTTAAAATTAGAAGATTTGTTGCGTGGGTGGCATTCCATGCCACTCCCTGTGGAACTGGGCGTTTTGCTTTCCCTGGACACTCCAAAATGGTGATGCTGGGTTGGATATCATCTATACTCCTCTGCTGAGAGCTGGCAGAGCAGATGTGTCAGACAGGGATGAGGGTATAGAGGTGAGCAGACCTTCCTCCGGGGGTCCCCTCTGACCCATTATGGCTGCTGTGCCCTCCACCCTGATTTGAACATGGTACCATGTTCACCCAGAATGGCATATATTGGTGGATTTCAAATTCATTTGGGTACCATAGCACCTGGAATTTATGGTGCTTTGTGTGGAATGCCTTGAAATACTGATAAATTTAATTCCATTGTGTGAAATAGGAACACTTTTGTTAGCAGGAAAGCCAACTTTATTTTATGCACATTATGTTTCAATCACAACCAAAACACAGGCTGTCAAGCTCATCAGTGTCTCTCCAGTCTGCTTCTGAGCCCCTCATTCCTTTTTTTCAGTGGGCAGCACCACCAGCCCCCCAGAAACTGATGCAGAAATCCAGAATTATCCTTGACAACTCCTCTCCCTCCTTGCCCCCAACCCCACTCCAACCCCACATCTATCCAGTGACCAAATTCCAGGCTAGATACTGATTCTGAGCACTTTTCTCCATTCTTGTTCCCACTACCCTTATTCAGGTGTTCACCATCTCGCACCTGAAGTACAGCCACAACCTCACTTCCATCCAAAGTCCTCTCTATGCTGCAGCAGCCAGTGACCACTCTAAAACACCAATCCAGTGGAGTCATCTTATGCATCCGAACTTTCAGAACTCCCAAGCTTACAAGGCCCGATCTGGCCCATGAATGTCCTGCCTGTGTAATTTTCCCCAGCTTTACTGTCAAGCCCTGTACTTTTAGCCAAATAAAATTCTTTGCTGTTCGGGACTGTGCTGTGTTCTCTCTAGCTGGAACATCTGGCCCCATGCAGTTGTCTGGCTAACTCCTCCTCCTACGTCATCTCAGATGATGGCTCTTTCAGGATGTCTCCTCCCCCTGGCACGAGATGCCCCTTCCTCAGGGCTCTCAGTGCACATGTGCAGACCTCATCATCTCTTTCTGGGGATCCTGCAACAGCCTCCCAGCTAGTGTCCTGCTACCTCGCTTGGACTCATCTTCCATTCTCCATACAGCAGTCAGAATCTTCTCTCTGAAAGGCATATGTGATCATGTTCTTGCCGCCATTAGGGTCAAGTTTAAACTCCTGGTATGACTTATAAGGCCCTCTATGATCTCGCCTATTGCAGCCTCCTCATTTTAATTCATGCCAAATCCCTCTATGCTTCGGCTCTCCCGAATCTCTTTCTAGCCCTCCTCCATGGCACGTACTCTCTAGCTCTGTCTTTTGCACATGCTGATTCTTATGTCTAGACCCCTCCCCTGGCTCCCAACTCTTTTCCTAGATAATTCCCACACATCTTTCAGATGTCTGTTGTACATCGCTTCCTCTGGAAAGCCTTCAGTGAATCCTTAAAATAGGTTATGTGTCTCTCCCCCCATTTCATTTCCTAGTGCCTACCGCTCACAGATTTAATTGCTTGATTAATTAACTATTGTTTCTTTTAGGTTGTGAACTGGAGAATCATGAATATTTAGTTTCTGCCTATGTTTTTAGCACTATATAGGACAATGTTCAATAAATATTTATAGAATCAAGAATGAATGAATGCATATTTCTTTTCCTACCATTAGAAGCTGGAACTCTTCACTAACTTAAGTGTGTGGGACATGCTTAATAAATGTTTGTGGAATAAATGAATTAGTGAATAATCAGTTCTTTTCAAGCTCATTTATTTTATTATACTTAAAAAAATTATACTTGCTCATTTATTTTACCATCAGCAAGATCTTGCTAGCAGAATTGTGGCAGTGGCCCCAGTTTTAAGAAAATTGTCAGATATGAAACTTCACATCCCAAAGCTGGAGAATTCTCTCTATTAACTTCCGGTGGTCAGTTTTAGCACCGGAGTCCTCTGTGGGAGGCGGCACGCTCTGGAAGGTCCTCTGCTCACTCCCTGTGTCCATTTCTCACGGCCAGAGCCTGGCCACCCTGTGGCCCCACTGCCCCAATGGATCCACTGAACCTGTCCTGGTATGATGATGATCTGGAGAGCCAGAACTGGAGCCGGCCCTTCAACGGGTCCGAAGGAAAGGCCGACAGGCCTCACTACAACTACTACGCCATGCTGCTCACACTGCTCATCTTCATCATCGTCTTTGGCAACGTGCTGGTGTGCATGGCCGTGTCCCGTGAGAAGGCGCTGCAGACCACCACCAACTACCTGATCGTCAGCCTCGCCGTGGCTGACCTCCTCGTAGCCACGCTCGTCATGCCGTGGGTTGTCTACCTGGAGGTAGGTCTGGGCCCCACCTTGCTCTCACAGCTTCTCTGAGAGGACACTGTGCTGAAGTCCGGGCTCCTCACTGGTTTCTACCAACAAGCTGCCAGTGCTCTTTTGGGTGCTCTCTGCCTCCACTCTGGGCTCAGTTTTTCTCCTTACAAAATGGGCAGATTGTCTCTTTAACAATCTCAGCTGCCAGTTTTAGAGTGCTTACTAAGTGCTGGGCCTCGCGTTAAGTCCATTATACACAGCATTGTCCCATAGTGTCCTCACAGCAGCTTTGAGAGACTGGCGCTACCATCTACTTCACAGTAGCTAGGTGACATCTCAAGCATCACATAGCTGGCAGGTTCAAGCTGGGACTCTGTCTGGACTCAGAGTTCATTCATTAGGTCCTGCTGGAAATGGGAATAATTGATGAGGACCCCCAAGGACGGGAAATGTGCCTGCCTCCAGGCCCAAACTTGGTGTTCCTCTCTCCCTACTTCAAAAATGGGGACTGCTGCTCTGTGCTCTCTTTCTCCCTTCCTTCTTCGGCAGTTTGTTCTAGCACCTGTGTCTGGGACCTCCAAGTAGCAGCCTCTGTGAACTGTGCTGTGGTCCTTTCCTCAGGAAGGTCTATATAGTCACCATTGCCTGGCCCAGGACAGAGCCCAGCTCTGTGCCTCAGAGTAGTAAGTAGGCAGCCCCTGCTATGGTCCAGGCACCATGCCAGGCATGTTGCAGACATAGACTCAGCAATTACTCATGCTAATCCTCACTTTACAGAAGAGGGAAAAGAAGCTTTGAGAAGTTGCCTGTCTTCACCGAGACCACTTAGCAAAGGGAGAAGCTTCTGACAGAGAAATCCCTAAGTGGACTCGTCTCCAGGCAGATGATTTTCAGAGCTGGCAGACAGATGTGGGAGGGTTGAGGAGATGTGGGTGGGCACAGGCTGGATTCTGCCCCTTTCTTTGCCCAGCATTCTGGGGCGGAGTCTGGGTGCATGGGAAGCTGACCGGGCATTCAGGAAAGACCCAATGCCAGGTCGCTAAGATCACAGAACCATTACCTTCTTGCCCTGGGTGAGAAGAATTTACCTGTGCCATGGAGACAATACTTCTTTTAAAAGAAAACATGAATGCTTTGTAGGTTTGAACAGAGGAGACATCTAGGAGAAGAAGCTGAGGTGGGGAGGGCAGACTGGTCAAAAGTGGCACTACTCCCTGTCTCCATGTCCCACGGGGCAGCCTGTACTTCCTGTTGTCAGCACCACGCTGGTCCACAGGGAGCTCTGGGCCATCACTCCCTTGGTTTCCTTTAGCACGGCCTAAACAGGCTGGAGCTTTCAAAATGACCTGACTAAATGTTAAGGAAGAACCAAAAGGAACACAACAGTAGACACAAAAGAACATAAACACATACAGGCGCCACAGGCCAGGGGTCCAATTTCTCCACGACTCCCATGTTTATGAGGGCCCATAGACTCTGTCCGTCCCACATCCTGTCTCAGGCCCTCTCCCCAGGAGCTCCTTCTTAATTCTTAAGCCTGCCCGCCTCCTGCTCACTTTCAAGGGAAGGCCGGAGGGCTCAGATCATCAGGGACAAATGAGGGGTGAAAGGCAGAGCAAACACTCTCTCTGTGCCTCAGTTTCCTTATCTGTATAATAAAGATAATAATAGTATCTATCTTGTAGCATTGTTTGAGAATCAAATGAATTAATGTATGAAAAGTGCTTAGAATGGCTCTGGGTACACAATAAGCACTATATAAAAGTCAGCCATGACAATGGTCTTGAAGATTAAGATTACCATGATATCCAGCAACCACATACTGTACCCTCTCCAAGAGACACTCGTTGTCCAGAATTTTCCATCCTGTTCCATGGCCAGCGATGTTAAATGCCTCTGAGAGCCTGCCATGTCAGCATCTGTCTAGTGTGGGACTAGATGTGTGTTATTTTTTTTTGCTCAGTATATGGAAAGCACCCTGGTTTTGGAGTGGGAGGACTGGGCTCATTTCCTGGCTCTACCACTTTGCATCTGGAGAAGCTTCTGAGAGAGGAGAGCCAGGGCCACCTGTGGGCCTGTTTGGGCTTCGTAATTCTTTGAGGGGAGGGTTTACTGTGTGCATTTTCCAGATGAGCCAATGAGATTGAGAAGCGAACAGACTAAGATCACAGAGTTATTTATTCACTCATTCAACATGTATTGAGCATTTCTACGTCCTGCCCCTTCCTTGAGGTCTAAAGCACAGCCTGCCATTGATGAGGAGACTGATGGGGCTGTTACAGTGCAATCTGATAGAAGTGGCAATGGAGCCGTCCCCACGGGGGATGTGGGAACACCATGGGGAGGAGTATGTAACTTGGCATGTGGGAACCAGGAAGCCTTGCAGGAAGAAGTGATACTTTTAGAAGAATTATCCAGGGGAGGGAGCAAGGTACTTGCTGTGTGCAAAGCTACTGAGCAGGGAGGGTAAAGCCGGGTAGAGGTTTCGAGGTGTGGCAGCCATGTCATTAGCCTCAGAGGTTTGCTGTCACATTCCATAGATATGAATGTGAAGTGTTTGAAACAGTGTCTGACAGTAAATGCTTAATACATGCTAGTTATTGTTAGGATTTAGCCGAGCCAGCTCAAGGCCCATACTGTAGGTCTCGGTTTCATGTGAGCAATAATGTCAATGAATGGTGTCCAAAAGTGCAGAGAAAACCTGGTGTCCAGTCCTTCCTCTGCTACTAAACTGCAGTGATCTTGGCAAGTCCATTTTCCTCTCTGAGCCCAAGTTTGTCCACCTTTGCAATTATAATCTCTCCTTTCACACTTTCTGTTTATTTAGTACCTTTTACATAATTATCTTTTTGACAAGCTTGATGGTCCTTCCCGAGACAGCTTAGATGAGAGCACAGGCTGTTCTACCCAAGAACTTGCTTCAGATTCTAGCCCTGCTGCCGCCTACCTGGATGAACTCTCTGAGCTTTAGTTCCCTCCTCCATGACAGATAAGCAACCCCTCTCGCACAAGCTTGAAGAACAATGAATGAGATAAAGTACATGCCCACAGTAGGTGTTCTAGAAAGAGTGGCTGCCAACACATTTTATTGAGTCTCCGAGTCACCTGCCCCTGATTGTGTTCTAGACCAGCTCCCGGGGCCATGGAGGAAAGCCCACCCTTCTTCTGGCTCCAGAAAGACCTTTGGGGGAAGGGATTGAAGCTCCCTTGCCAGTCCTGCTTGCCACTGCACCCTGGAGTCTAGGACAGAGCCCAATACATACTAAGTGTGGGAAAGAAAGAAAGCAAGAGAGAAAGATGGAGAAGAGCAGCCTGGTGTCTCAGATCTAGATCCCCAGGGACATGAAGGCAGCTCTGAAATACTCGCCTAGGAGGGACTTCAAGGTAGGGAGTGGAGCGGGCCTGGGACCCTGCTCAGTGGTGCCCAAAAGTAGACTCCGTTTACGCCAGGGAAGCCCTTCCATCCCCCTCCCCATCCCCCTCACCCTCACAGAACATCCAGCTCTTGCCCACCTGGTCAGGGCCGCACTAAGGCACAGGGAGCCCTCTGCTGTGACATGGGAGGGGCTCTGGTCCAGGCCCCCCATGAGAGCCAGAGAAGGCAGTGCCATACAAGAAGCTTCCTGTCTTCCAGGAGAAGCTGCCATTTCCTCTACACTTGACAACAGCAGCTGCAGTGCCCGTCACTGAGCTTAAATGCCAACGTTTGGTTTTATGCCTGGGAGCAGATAAAAGGGCAGCGCTGAGAATGAACAGTGTTATCATTAGGCCTGCTGCTTGCCCTTGGTGACAGGGGGCTTTCCTGCTCCTTTTCTCTCCTATTGGTGGAGACCAAGGTGCCTCTTGCTGTCCTGACTCTGTGCTCAGGGGTGGGGCTGCTCCGAACTTCCGAAGTTTGCCAGGGCCAGCCTGCTGTATGAATGCGTGTGTCTGTGTGTAAATGGGAGGTGTGGGGTGTGGGTGTGCAATGGGGGCATGGGACTGTGTGTGTGTATATAATGGGATATGTATGAGTGTGTGTGATGGAGGGGAGGGTTGTAAAATGCTCCTGCCAGAAGCTGGACTCCTCATGTCTTGTCATACTAGGGCTGTATCATCACAGCTCCCTCCCCATTCTGGGTGTTCCTAAGCCTTAGCCCAGACTTTCCCTCTTTCATTCTCCAGGTATACCAAGGTATACCACATGTCCTTATTTCATAGGGTCATCGTCTTCACCATTGTTCTTAACAGATGCTTACTGGGCCCCGACCCTGTGCCACACACCATGCTGGGTTCTGAAGGAGCTGCTTGGCTCCCCCAGAAACCTGGACCAGGGCAGGACCAGAAGCTGAGCTGAAAGGCCTTGGGCAAGTCACTGCACTCCTCTAAGGCTCAGTTTCCTCATTGGTAAATGCGGGTCGCAAGGTGATCACAGAAATGCCTTACGGATGAAGGTTCACTAGCCCAGACTTTCCCTCTTTCATTCTCCAGGTATACCAAGGTATACCACATGTCCTTCTTATTTCATAGGGTCATCGTCTTCACCATTGTTCTTAACAGATGCTTATTGGGCCCCGACCCTGTGCCACACACCATGCTGGGTTCTGAAGGAGCTGCCTTGCTCCCCCAGAAACCTGGACCAGGGCAGGACCAGAAGCTGAGCTGAAAGGCCTTGGGCAAGTCACTGCACTCCTCTAAGGCTCAGTTTTCTCATTGGTAAATGCGGGTCGCAAGGTGATCACAGAAATGCCTTATGGATGAAAGTTCAAAGTTGAGGCACTCAGTATGTTGGTCATCTTTATTCTTGCACAGTTCTTGGCACAAAGTGGCCATATGTGTCTCTAGGAGGAGACAGGGTCAGGGGCAAGGGCCTCAGGTACCCATGGGCATGCCTCCCCATTGCTACCTCTCTTCTCCCCCAGACCCCAGCCAGAGACCCACAAGACCCCCATGGCTGCCATCTGAGCCCGTGGCCTGATCTGCCCCAGGAGAGATGAGTTACGAGACCAAAGCTAATCTCTCCCTCTGATGTCCGCCTATTACTTTGCTTTGTCCCCAGGTGGTGGGTGA